AAGTGAAAATTGTTCATGTAGTATAAACATTGTAATCTATTATTGCTCCCGTTTTGTATCATGTAAAGTTTTCATTATTTTCTATTCTAAAACATCGTGTATGTATTGCAGTTATATTATTGAATTATATTATTTTCTTAACAAAAAAATTAATTTGATTATAATTAAATTCAAAGTAATTCATATATTAAATAGATACGACTTTATAGACATTTTTATCGTTATCTTTTTATGGTAGTTATTACAAAGTATAATTGCATAGGAAAGTTCATAAAACACAATTCTTTACATATCATCAATCATTAATCGTTATGTCAAGTTAATCTTTCCTTAATCTATATTTGTACAATATTTTCTGGCTGACGTAAAACAAATTTGATATATATGCATTATCTATTATTGAATAGACAAAAAGCATGTATACATACATGTACAATGTACATTTAAAAAACAGATATGTATAGAAGAATTTACTATATTAATATGCAATATATAATGCCATGTTATTCATTATTGTTTATTCATTATATTAATAATTTTCCATATTTTAAATGATCACATAGTGAATAAATTATTTCGAAGTCTACGTTTACAGGTATTAAAAGTGAGCATACAAATAGAAATGCTGCTATTGGTTTAATAATAGCAAACAAGGTAAGTAGTTTTATTCTTAAACAGTGTAGTTCTGATTGAAAATGCTAATGTTAAGAAATATGTATAATATGATCATTATACAAAGTGTTAAGACCGAACTATGTAGATTTATAGTTGCTTTAATTTTAGTTCAATTGTAACTCTTAATATGTACTAAGTAGATAAATAATAACTAAATCTTTCTACTTTTTTTTTTACATATTTTATTTATTGAACTCATTATGTTCACATATTTAATTTTATTATTACCTTACTATGATACTGTATACATATATAATCTTCCTCTACGTTACTACTCTTACTACTACTCACTACTACTACTGTTGCTACTACTACCACTACCTACTACTATACTAATACTACTATATGTTGTTAAATAAATTAATAGCATAGTAAATATGTGGTAACATAGTAAGTTAATATAATAATTATTATTGATTTATTTGAAATGATCATTATATATAGCAAGTGACGAAAGTTCAAAATATTAATTAGTCAACCACGTTTGTTCATTGTACTTATTTAATTTATTTGTTTCACTTATTTAATTTTTGTTTTTCTATGTTAACTACGATCTATATGCGTTAGTAAGTTTTCTTCCCCTATGTAGACTGTTTTCCAATCTTTGTTCGTTCAGCCATTTCGTACTTTCTCCCTTTATCGTTTTTCCCGAGCATCTTAACGGCATTGTTTCCCTCTCCCTCTTTCTCTCTATCTCTATTTTTCTCTTTCTCTTCTTACCTCTCCCTCTTTTTCTCCTAAACATACCCTTCCCCTCTATTGTTCGCTCTGTCGTTTTCGTCAAAACTTTTCTTTCTCTATTCGACTGATTGCTATGTATGTATTTAGAATTTACTATTCGATTTTATTTATTTTTTTATTTATTTATTTGATATCTCTTCGTCGTACTCTTATCTCATGTTTTGTTATTAGTAGTGCGTTTAATTAATACACTTATTGAACACATTCTTTTTTCTTTCTTTCTTTCTTTTTATATTAGGCCCACATTCATTATTATTATTTTATTTATTCTGTAAAAATCGCACAAAAAAAATAATTAAAAGAAATATTATAATAACAAAAAGAAATATACAATAGGATGTCGAAAGTTTCGGATTTTACATATCTTTTTTATTATTATAACAGTATGTGTAGCGTATAAATTGCTGACAAGATACACACATTTTAATTTGGCGAACGGACTTTCCATTCTTACGTCATTTTTATGAAGCATACGATTTTCTATAGGAGAGTCGAAGAAAATGAATAAATGCCTTTTAAGAATATTTTAATATCGACGAATCGTTATATTTATCTATATATGTGTATATATATATATATATATATATATATATATATAAAATTTAATTATGAGACATTATAGTTCTCATATATATATAAGCTACATGATATTAACAATATCGTAATTCATAGAGGATTATCTCGTATACATTTTTATGTCTATATTCTAAAGAGCAATATAATGCAGGTGATCGTATATCGTCTACGTATATGTTGTGTGTATATATATGTATACGACGCGTCTCCTTCATTTTGTACTTCCTTTTCTCGATCTTTCCTTTTCTTGATTCTATTGTTATGAATCTACTTTACCTAGTGTATAAGATATTATCTATATATCTGTACAAATATATAGATATATGGATTTATACATATATATGGTTTATATATATATATATATATCTTTTTTACCGTATTTTCGTTCGTTGAAATTCGTAATATTCCCGCTAGAATGCGCAACCTTCAGGTCAGCGATCTCCCGCCTTCCCCTTCCATTTGCCTCTTACCTCTCATTCGTTCACCCTAACCTCCTTTCAATTTTTCTCCCTTCGAATTTTCACCGCTCATTCTCTTCTCTTACTTGCGAGTCTCTTACTTTTTTACCTTCCTTTTTCTTTTTTTCGTTTTTTCTTTTCTTTCTTTCTGTTTTTTCTTTTTCCTATTTCGACTATCCGCTTCTTCAAGTTTCTTTTGATTCATTTTCTCTGTATTATTATTCTAATAGTATTTTCATTTTTCGATGTATTTCTTACTATTAATTCAAGACTAATACAAATTTATATTTATATATATATTTAATTATTTTACATTTTTATTTAAAATTCTTAATATATTGATCAACGATTCTTTTTGTACGATTATTAAGAAATTATATATATGTATATTAAGTGTAGCAATTAATTCGATGCCTTTTAACAAATTTAGTATTTATTTATAAAATAATTATACATCTGTTATTCTTTAAAATAATTTCTGTTATTTTCGATAACTTTGATCTACGTTTCAGGCAATTACCGAATTCCTTGACGAAAAAAAGATTGCGATTTTGATGCAATGAGTTTAATATCAAGGTACCGAATTAATTGTTACATCTAATTATATATATATATACATTTACACAAGGATATATTAGTTTCGTTATTAAAAAAAATTATTACCTAAGAATTTCAAATTGTCTCTTTTATTGATTATATTAATTCAAATTCAATGATGCCACTGTGTTATTATTTACAGTTATCGTCGTCGTCCGCTTGGTTGTGTTGTGTTACATAGTTTGTTAAAAAATTATTCGAAGAAAATTTTATTATTGCAAATTTATATTAATGCAAAAAAGGCAAGATAATATGTGATACTTGAAAAAATAATAGCGCAACGTATTAAAATTGATTTTGTACGTAAGATTAATACGTGGAAATAAGTGTAACGATTAAGAAGTATGGCATCACAATCGCGAACGGTTTGAAGTTAAACTGCGTTCATAATGGTCCGAGGTGAAACAAGTCCGGTCTTTTGTTAGTATACCCGTATGTATATACGTATTGCTTTGTTGGATAGCTTGCCGACAAAAGATCAAGTGACCGTGCACCGCATCCAGTGTGAACGCAACATTTACGGTACACCAACAAGATATTAGTAGATACGGTCAGCCATGGATAATCTTTCGTGGAAAATATATTGGTATATTGCAAATACAATAATATTTGGTTAGTGCTGCATTTTTTTTTATGTATATATACATTTTTTTTATTTATATAAGGGTGGGTTAAACATTTTTGAGCTTAGACTTTTCTAAAAGTTTTGAGACTATTAAAAAATAAAAGTAAACTAGACTGAAAACAAAGTTGTTTTTATGTTAGGCTCAAAATTTTTCAATCTATCTACTACGATCCTAGAGATATTATTATTAATTTTAATCCATAACGAAGTTAGATTCGAATATGCAAAGTTAATGTTTTCATACGAGTCCTGCAAGCGCGTTAAACGTTTAAAATGTTAATATATATTTACGTATTTAAGTGTTAGAAAGAAAGATAAAAAGAGTAAATATTGAAATAGATTAAGAACAAACAAATCAAAGTATAACTTAATCGTTATTTGTTCTTTCTTTGGAATTTGTCAAGTATAGAATGTTGAAATTAGTTTTTCGATAAAAGAAGATAATTATTAGTCATATTTTTTTCATATCATTAAATTTCAAAGATCTTTTATAGCAGAAAATTGTAATTATTATTGTTTGTATCTGGTGATTTTAAGATCGAAAGATATGAAAACAAAACTATACATAGGATCTTTGAAATTAATAAAGAATTAATTAAAGAAAATTCCTATTGAGTTGATTGAAGTAGCTTTGATTAAAAAAAGATTAAAATAAGAAAGAAATATATATGAATATTTAAGTTTTCTTCGTTATGAATTTAATTGAAAAAAATGTTACGTTAGATGACCGAATTCTCGGTTCGATCAATTATAAACGGTTGTACTTTTATATATCCAACTAGAATGAAAGACAGAGAGCGCCAGTAGCTTATAATCGATCAACTAATGAACGAAAAAACTATAAACGGGTTCGGTAGCTTGGCATTGCGGTTCCCACGTAAAGCAGACTAATGTAATACATCTTTTTCGCTCGCTCGTTCGTTCGTTCGGTCGTTCGAAAAGAAAGTAAGTAAACAAATAAATAGTTAATACTATTAAAAAAAAAGAAGAAAAAGAAGCTAAAAAGAATTGTTTTTTCAGTTAATATTTGATTCCAAACAACGTTCATTTATCGCATCGCAATCCGTTGAAATGTGTATGGACATTGATATACGTATACTTTAGGTTAGCAGCGGGCGATAAAGGCGCCGCCAGGTGGTGAGTTGAGGAAATAGAAACGAATGTAGTATGCGTGCGCAAAAAGATGTATACGGATTTGCGGAGATCGTACGGAAGTTACGACGACGTAGTGACCGGTGTGTGTGGCGACCTCCATCGACACGAACAAGATAGGATAGAGTGTAGGGTAGGGCACAACATAAAGGTAGGGTTTAGAGAGAGAAAGAGAAAGAAAGGTTGGCGGCAGGGTGGGGAGGAGAATACGAGAGTGAAAGGTGGGGGAGAGAGTAGCCCTTGGCTGCTAGCGCAACGTGACGGGCAGGGAAGGAGAGGGGAGCGCGAACGAATGAGAAAGAGAGAAAGCAAAGAGGAGAGGAAAGAGAGACGTTGTAGAATGATTCGGGTCTACGGACACGCTTGCGTCTCGCGACGTTTCGTACTGTTCCGCATCCGCAGCTACAGCCACCGCCACGGACACTGCCAGTAAAAATCGTGTGAATGCGCGTCCTAACGAGGGTGGTTTTTCGATTAAAAGGAAAACCTTTACAAACAATTCCGTCCTCTCGCAATACAGAGAAAATACGTGAGTGTCGTTTCGACGTCTTTTTTCTCTCTCTTTCGTTCCTTCCGCGGAAAGAGATCCTACTCTTACGAACGGTAGTACATACGCGCCGAGGAGGAAGGGAACGTTTGTGCACAGTGAAGTGACGCTTTGGTGTGTTAGAATATCGAGCGTCGCGTTGACCGCTACGAATTTTCTCGCTCTTGCTCTTTCCCTTTCTTTCTCTCTCTTTCTCTCTCTCTCTCTCTCTCTCTCCCCCCACCCTCCCTCTCTCTTTCTCTCTCTCTTTCGGAAGTCCAAACGGAAATCTCACACGCGATAATGGCGTACTTTCCGACATTCCGATGTTTTTTTTCTGGAAAACTTGTGTCGATTCTTTGTAATGATTAAAATGCTCCTACACATTGCGCATTATTCGAGTTCTCTAACCTCAAGACTTCAAAATGCAGTAATAATACCGGAGGATTTGTTTATACGGCCATCATACTTAAATGCTACGACGACTACTTTCTTCTTACGCTCTCTCGTAATATTTTCTCTTCTTCCCCCTCCCTCTCCTTCTTCCCCTCTTCTGGTTCTTCTTCTTCTTCTTCTTCTTTACCCTTATTGCCGCTCAGAAAGTATATGATTTCATTCGTTCGACCACCTAAACGACTATCTCTTCATCAATATTATTTTGGATCTATTGGCCTATTGTCAGGTTCGTACTATATCACATTTTTTACATTACCATCGTTTTTGTATTCATTTTCGAAATAATATCTGAAACAATTATCATTTTAACGAAAACCAATGCTATACTCTTACGAGATGATACCGTGTGTTTGAAAAAAAAAGAAACGTTTCTTTTTTTTTCTCTCTCTCTCTCTCTCTCTTGATACCTCCTTTCCCTCCCTTCGATTGTTCACGCATCTTCCGGTTTCTTTCCGTTTTCCTTCCGTTTTCGAAGAAGATTGGTTACGGAAGTACAAAGTATATACGAATACAGATTTTATTCTTATTTCTAGTGTTAAATAATGCTTTGGAACCGATGGTATTATATTTGCATATATATATATATATTTCCTGTTTAGGCTTTATTTAATTATATCGAAGTTAATTGTTTCCATCGAGAAAATCGAATTCAGTTGAAATTACAGTGACTAATTGTTGAAGAGAGAACAAAAATAATCGCAGAATATTTTATTACAATAACGATGACAACACAACAATAAGAAGTAATATGAATTTATAGTATTATTGTTATGTACAAGCGTACGCGTAATTGTTACTTTTAGGTTAGGTTGTTTAACATTTTTTAATATTTTTATTTTTACCTTTTATGCATTATTGCAAATAAAATCTCGGTTAACTCGATAGTTATAAATTATTGTTAATACGAACTGCTATGAATTTCTTCATTTATTATTTAATTAGTTTTTTAGTACTAAATATTTTAGTACTTCTTATTAGTTCATTTTGGTAAAAGAAATATATTTAATTGTTTACTTAAATCAGTATTAAAGTAAATAATTAATAATCATATTATCTTATGTAATTTTAATTATTGTCTTTCTATTTTTCACATTTTAATCAGTTTTTGCATGAAATTTCTAGTAAATAGTATGTAATGATTAAGAAGAAATTCATATGTTCTCACATGTTTTATACATATTCAACATAGGTAAAATATTGTTTGCTTTATGTATTTCTGTGAACGAGTTTGTTTTTAATTATATTTTGATAATTTATTATTGAGTTTTGCTAAATTATGCATATTAAATGCACATATATATATATAAATATTAAGAAAAAAAGTACACCAATAATGTTAAATATATGCAAATGTTATTTTAATGCAAACTTAAGTTAGCATTAATCTGTTTAATAAAAAGAGATATAATATACTCAACACCAGAGTTTTGTACATTATTGTAAACCAGTGGTTTCAATATACTGTCATATTTTATATATTTATAAAATATTATGTTTTAACAGGTAACGCTAAAGAATTTTTACTTTTTATTCATTCCACAGGGGAAAGGCTATAACGATTATGAGAAATCAAGCCATAAGCGTATAGCTTTTCCCCTTTGGCGTGAGTAATATACAACTGTTAATGCCCAGGATAGTTAATTAAATATTATGGTGTAAAAAGTTATTGTTAACAAAAAGGAAATGTTGTGGATGAATTGTAACACGAAGATTCGACTAACATAAATTGCATAACTTATTTTGCGTGTGTTTCAGAGAGCAAAACAGAGACACAAAAATGGGTACGTTAATAGCTTTAAAAGAGATTGCCCAATACTCTCTTAAGCCTGAAATGGAGGCGAAGAGTCCTGCTGCGTAGACATGGACTCGTACGACCTGTTTGGTGAAGATGTCAGTGGCTCAATGCTCGATACTCTTCCTGATCTTGGGGGGAACGATCATTTTGACCCTGCGAGTACAAGTAATTCCGTGGTAGTATCAAGAGATGGTCCAAACCCTGGCACTAATGGAGGAGGGAGTTACATTAGCCAATCTTATATTTCACAAGAGTCGCCTCTTCAAAAATTGACTTCATTTGGTGGATCTGAATTTGGAAATTCTAATCAGTTACAAAATCCATCTCAGCGCAGTATGTTTAACCAAAATCTAGGAACGTTCGATAGTGGAACGCCACAACGTGCTATGGTGCCAGGAGCTTTTCAAAATCAAGCTCGTAGTATGGCACCTCAACATCGGGGACCTCACCCCGGTAGTGGTGGCCAATATCCTAGTTATAATGATAATATGTATTCTATGGAACAGCAACATTCAATGGCTAGACCTAATATGAATATAGACCCTAATATGCAGGGTTGGCCAAGTAGTGGTAGTGCTTATCCTCAAATGCAAAGGCATTATAATCAGATGGCACAGCAACCTGCTACTTATCGGCAACATATGCCACCACAGTATTCACATCAGCAAGATCAAGCTGGTGTAATGAATCAGAAATTACAACAACAGCAGCAGCAGCAGCAGCAACAACAACAACAGCAGCAGCAGCAACAGCAACACTTTAGTACACAACAAGGAATGATAGGAAATATGGGAGTAGCAGCTCATCAAGTAATGCAAAGTGGTGGAACAGGCAGTGTCTACCAACATATTGTTGGGCAACAGCAACAACATTATCAACAAGGAAATTCTGTTGCGATGTATCAAACTTCATCAGGGTATCCTGGTTTTACGTCAGCCATGCATCAACAGCAACAGCAATCGCAGCAACCTCCACAAAGAATGCCTCATCATCATCCACCTCATCCACCTCATCAGACACATCCTTCGCATCCCCAGCAATATTCACAACATTCGCAGCATCCTAATACGCAGCAGCAGCCAATGGATCCTCAATATCCACATCATACAACATCCATGTTTAATCAACCACAGCATTCTGGTCCTGCGGCACAATTTAATACTAATAAACACGCCACCAGTCCTCAATATCGTGCTGCTTTTCCACAATTATCACCACAAATGTCTCCAAGACCTCAGATGTCTCCGAGACCACCTGCTGTACAACAGCAAATGTCTCCAAGACCAATTATGTCTCCTGCTAAGCCGAGTACATTATCGCCCCATCCTCATGTACAACTTCCTCATCAACAATCAAATCAGCCTAATACAATGTCAGTTTCTCCATGTCCACCTTCTTCAATGCAGATGAATCCATCATCTCAACAAACCACTTTACAAGCGCTTGAGCAAATGGTAATACCAGGTGTTGCTGTATCTAATCCAAATGTACCTGCTCAAGATTATAATCAATTTCAAACACGACCGCCATTGTCGCAAGCTCCAAATGTTTTACAACAGTCAACTGCACAAAATTCTATACCACAAATTTCTGGACCTAGAATGCCAATGTCTGCACAGTGGTCACATCCACAACAGCAGTCACAGGTTAGGCCAAATTTGGCTGTCAGTGATGATAGAAATATAGTTGAAAATCAACCTCCTGTAGTATCAGAATCTAGTGCTCCATTATTTCCAGTATCTGGAACAGAAGCTATTCATAGTGGAGCAGAAACATCAGTAAGAGATTCTACAGAAAATGTACAAAATTCTACAGAACAACCAACACAAGGCTCTGAATCTATAGAGCAGTCTAGCCAAAATCAGAAGTCAGATATGCTTGGTTCTGGGAGTGAAAACTCAGTGCAAACTACTTCACAAAATAATACTAATTTAGATCATACTTCTGCGTCGTCGACACATGTGCAGATGGAAGCAGTACAATCTTCTGCAGCATCTAGTACAAGTGGAAATGTAGACTGTGGAAATGTATCTCCGTTGCAGCAGCAACAATCTGTCACAGGAATACTCTCTACTACTGCTACTAATATGGAAAATGAAATTACATGTGATACAAAACAGCATGATCAGACTATGGAAATTGCTTCTGTTCAACATCATCAAGCACCCATGGGAAATTCAATATCCCACCCACAACAGCCTGTAATAAATCAAACGCAACAGCAGCAGCAACAACAACAACAGCAACCACAGCAACAGCAGCAGCCGTCTCAAGTTCAACCTCAATCTCAGCCTCAGCTGCAGCCTCAGCCTCAAGCTCAGCCTCAAGCTCAGCCTCAAGCTCAGCCTCAAGTTCAGCCTCAATCTCAACCTCAGTCTCAACCTCAACTTCAAGCTCAGCCACAAGCTCAGTCTCAAGCTCAGCCTCAAGCTCAGTCTCAAGCACAGCCTCAAGCTCAATCTCAACCCCAACCTCAACCGCAACCTCAAACACAACCACCAGCATTACCACAACAAGTGCAACAACCAACTCTTACTTCTCCTCAACAAGTACAGCAAATTCCGATAATAAATCAATCTCCAATGGTTTCATCACAAAATCCATCAATGCAACCAGGACAAATACAACAGCCCCAGCTAGGACAAACACAGCAAACACCAATTACTCAAACAACACCAATACCACTTCAGCAGCCATCACAACCATTGCAAACTCTTGGTCCAACTCAACAACAACCTCAAATAGCACAACAACCTCAGCAACCAGTAATAAGTCAAGCTCAACAATCTCAACAATCTCCAATTCAACCAACACAACAACCACAATCTCAAATTCAACCGACACAACAACCACAATCACAAATGGGACAACCATCTCAACAAATTCCAGTTTGTGTAGCTCAAGCACAAGGACAGCAACCTCAACCAATTATGAGCCAACAAGTTGGTATGATCTCCCAAAGTACTCCAATAATACCAAATCAAATTCCTCTTCAACCTCAGCTGCAATCTCCAATACAAAATTCCTCTCCACAAATACAATCTCAAACCAATCAAGTTCCACCTACGCATTTAACTGCTGCTCAACAAGTACCTGCTGTTAGCCAAACTAGTGGAATAGTAATGACATCTCATCAACCTACAGCTCCTGTGTCAAATTCTCAAACTCCACTTCCAGTACAATCGAATTTCAATGAATATACGAATATTCCAAAAACTAATACTATGTACACAAATGACGTGATGGTAGCATCAGGACAGCAATATCATTCTAGCAATGATATAATTACTGGTAATACTGTACCAAATATGTATGGTATTTCATCTAATACAAATCCTACATCTGTCAGCTCTACTCCATTCAATACATCTTGTGCTCCAGTAACACATCATCAAGAAAGAGCTGCTTTGCAACAGCAATTACAGGAACTTTACTGTATGCCGCCAGCTCCAGAAAATCAAGAAAAAATAGTGTCCTTGCAAGAAAAATTACAAGCTTTACAGCAACACGAAACAAATGATCAATGTAATGGTGGAACACAATGTATTTTGCAAACTCCTATGTTCACAGCAGCTGTTGTTGATAGCCCACAGGTAAAATATTTAAGCTGTAATTTTATTTCCATAAAGTTATTGTTTATGTATATAAATATATAAATAATAATAACTGATCATTTAAATTACAGGTGTCAAGTACTACTGGTCGTGGTCGTGGTAAAGGTACATCAAGGGCTAAAAAGAACAGGAAAAAAGCAGATAAAGAAGCTGCTGCTCCTCCAGCAAGTACACAGGCGCTTGTTCAACCTGAACAACCTTTATCAGATAATCAAGTAACACCTGGAGACAGCAGTAATATTGTTGACAGTGCTGCTGATTCCGAAGATATGAAACCATCGTCTGGTGATATGGAGGAAGATTGGAATAAGGGTAGAAAATCACGTATTCCGCGTAAACCACGTAAGCCAAAAGAACCTAAGGAACCTAAGGAGGCTAAGATTAAAAAGGAACCAAAACCACCTAAAGAAGCTAAGTCCCCTAAAGGTGCCAGAAAAAGAAATAAAGATAAAGACTCAACAAAACGTAATAGAAAGTTAGTAGTTTTCCTTATTCACATTTATTTAATATTTTATTTAAACATATACCTTATATAATTATTATTTATTTAATTTTTGTTCTTTTTATAGAAAAGTTAATCAATCTGAGTCGGCTGATGACGATACGGTACAAGAAGCAGAAGAGACTGTTGTCGCTGATTCGAGCGTGGTTAAAGATTCAGAGACAAAACTTAAGGAAATATCAAGTCAAGACGATCAGGAACAAGTTGATTCTTCAACGACTGAGCCTTTAGTAAGTGAAACTAAAGAGGAGGATAAAGTGGAATCAGAAATTCCAGATGATGAGAAAAAAGAACAAAATACTGAAGCAGCAACGGGCTCGGAAACACCGGCTTCTAGTAGTAAGAAGAAAGGAACGTCTCGGAAAAAATCTTCCAGTAAATCTTCTGGTGGGAAATCTGGCAGAAGTTCTAAGTAAGTCCAAATATTTATATATACAAATTGGCATTACTTTGTCAAGTCAAGGAAACCCTAGGTTTTCCAATATATGTTGGAAAAATGAAAAAATGGCATGAAAATTTTTATCTTATTCTTTCGCATAGAATCACCATCTCTGCTCGGTTGTACGATACTATTGTTATTGCTCCATTCTATAAATATATTTGTTTATAGAATGATGAAATAGAAAGTAATGCAAAATTGACCAAATTAATGATATTTTTCTAAAATTATTGTAGGAAACGGAAAAGTCGTATTGCACCTGATTCTGATGGCGAAGAATTAGCTGCAACACCACCACCTTCACCAGAAGCTGGCGATGACAATAAAAGACGTTCTGCAAGGAATACTCACCGTAAAAAATATGTTGATGATGTTATGCTACGGTTTTCAGACGATGATGTTCCTCTTCAGGAGGCTCATTTGTCGAAAAAATCTGAAGGTGCAAGTACATCTAAAATAGCAGCTGTTAAGAAAGATAATGAGGGTGGTGAAGTTGGACAAAACAAGCCTAATTTTGTATATATTGTATGTATCAAAATACAGAGAAAAGTTTTATAATATTATTTTTTTAATATTTAATAAAATATTTGATTATTTATTTTCATAGAATACGACTGATGAAGACTCAATGGTTGTGCAACATATTCTATGTACCCGTATGGGAAAAAGAGAAGTTAAGCCGCCAGTATTACCTGATATAAAACCAGAGCCTAGTACGTCCGAAGAGACAAAGGAAAACGCAACTGAAGATGCTGGACCATCTGAAACAAATACAACGGAAGAAAAAGAAAAAGAAAAATCCGAAGAATCTGAAAAGGAACCGTTGGTAGAAAGTACGGATAAAGAAGTAAATGATAATGACAATGACGATGATAAAGATAAGGATAAGGATAATGATAATGATAAGAATAAGGATAATGATAATGATAAGGATCAAGATAGTGATAAGGATAAAGATAATGATAAAGATAGTAATAAGGATAAAGATAATGATATAGATATAGATAAAGATAAAGATAAAGATGAAGAAAAAGATGAAGATAAAGATAAAGATAAAGATAAAGATATAAAAACAGAGGCGTCTTGTGATGCTGAAAATGAAGAGACGAAACCTGATTCTGATAAACAAGAGGATGCTTCCACGGCAGTTGATTCTAATACATCAGAAAATACTGTAGCAGAAGCAAAGCCACAGATGATAGAAGTTGAAGAATTTTTTGTTAAATATAGAAATTTTTCATATTTGCATTGTGAATGGAGAACGGAAGAAGAACTTTATAAGGGTGACAAACGTATACAAGCTAAACTAAAAAGGTTTAAACAAAGATTACATCAGAATACTAATATATTTGAAAATGTAAGTATATAGATATCAATATTAAAATAAATAACAAAGATATTAACCCTTTCGTTACGGGCGTGTTTTCCACGGCGGTATTTCTACTGAACGAGCCGTTGCAACATGCAACAAAACTGCACGTAGTCGTCCGTAGTAGCGAAAGAGTTAATTATTGGAAATTATTAGTTATTGGTATTTTGATAAAAAATATTAATCTTTTAATATTATTATAGACAGAAGATGACCCATTCAATCCAGATTTTGTCGAAGTTGATAGGGTGTTGGATGAAGCAACTCATACAGATCCAACAACTGGAGAAACCGTCAGACACTTTTTAGTTAAATGGCGTTCTTTACAGTACGAAGATTCTACATGGGAATTAGAAGAAGATGTAGATCCTGAAAAGATAGCGCAATTTCATAGATTTAATAAATTACCACCAAAGGATCAATGGAAGGTTAATACATATATTAATTTTATATAAAATAATTATTCACTGAAAATATTATATAATATATTAATCGTATTTTATTTTTAGCCTAAAAAGAAACCAAATGCATCAGCATGGGTTAAACTAGAAGAGTCGCCGATTTATAAAAGCAATAATAGTTTACGACCCTATCAATTGGAGGGTCTAAATTGGCTTCTCTTTTCTTGGTATAATGGACATAATTGTATACTTGCTGACGAGATGGGTTTAGGAAAGACGATCCAGTCATTAACATTTGTCGATGCTGTATACAAATATGGTATTCGTGGTCCTTTCTTAATAATAGCACCTCTATCGACTATTCCAAATTGGCAAAGAGAGTTTGAAAGTTGGACTGACATGAATGTTGTAGTATATCATGGATCGTAAGTATATAAATTATAAACTAACTTATTTATTTTTCTTCCCTTTTATATAAAAAATAATGATATTTTAAATATATTATTTAATATCTTACTTATATATATACAGAGCAGCAAGTAGAACCATGCTACAAGAATACGAAGTTTATTATAAAAATGAAAAAGGCCAACAGATAAAAGATTTAATTAAATTCAATGTCCTTATAACAACTTTTGAAATAATCATTACGGATTTCAATGAGCTACGTGGGTACAATTGGAGACTCTGTGTTATTGACGAGGCTCATAGACTGAAGAATAGAAATTGTAAACTGCTTGAAGGCCTTAGACAATTGAATTTAGAACATAGAGTATTGTTATCTGGTACTCCTTTGCAAAATAATGTGAACGAATTATTTTCTTTATTGAATTTCCTTGAACCAGTTCAATTTTCTAGTAGTGAAGCGTTTCTTAAAGAATTTGGAAATTTGAGTAGTGAAGGTGAAGTTCAAAAGTTACAGCTTCTTTTAAAACCGATGATGTTACGTCGGCTTAAAGAAGATGTTGAAAAATCTTTAGCACCTAAAGAAGAGACTGTAGTAGAGGTAATTAATATTAAATATAATTGTTATTGTTTATCGAATACACTATGTATATAGAATTGCGCTATGTATATAGAATTCACCATATATAATTCTGTTCCTTATTACACTTCTAGGTGGAATTAACCAATATACAGAAGAAATATTATCGTGGCATTTTAGAAAGAAATTTCTCCTTTCTTGCTAAGGGTACCACATCTGCTAACATTCCAAATTTAATGAATACAATGATGGAATTAAGAAAATGTTGTATTCATCCATTCCTTCTTAATGGTGCTGAGGATCAAATTCAATTAGATTACAAGACTGGTGACAAGGAAGATTCTGAGGCCTATTATCATGCATTAGTAAATAGTTCCGGAAAAATGGTTCTCATTGATAAATTATTACCAAAATTAAAGGCTAGTGGACATCGAGTTTTAATATTTAGTCAAATGGTCAAATGCCTTGATTTATTGGAAGATTATTTATTATATAAAAAGTAAGTTAAAATAAAATATTTTGGACATTTTTATATGAAAAATTAAAAGATTTTTTTTTTTTAAACATAAAATATGTTTTATTTATTAGGTATCCATATGAAAGGATAGATGGCCGAATAAGAGGAAATTTAAGGCAGGCAGCTATTGATCGATACAGTAAGCCTGACTCAGATAGATTTGTTTTCTTACTTTGTACGAAAGCAGGTGGTCTTGGTATCAATCTTACTGCTGCAGATACAGTTATTATATATGACAGCGATTGGAATCCACAGAATGATTTACAAGTAAATAAAATTCTAATTAATAATTTATTGTAAATAATAATTAACTTTCTATATGCTTTATATATACTATTTACATTATTTTTTTGTTTTCTAAATTATATTTATAGGCACAAGCTCGTTGCCATCGAATCGGTCAGCAGAAAATGGTAAAGGTTTATCGATTACTCTGTCGAAACACGTACGAAAGAGAAATGTTCGACAAGGCTTCTTTAAAACTTGGATTAGATAAAGCAATTCTTCAATCAATGAATACAAGTCAAGGTGGCAAAGATCCTAGTAATAAACAATTGACTAAAAAAGAGATTGAAGATTTGTTAAAGAAGGGTGCTTATGGTGCTATTATGGATGACGATAATGCTGGAGATAAATTCTGTGAAGAAGACATTGATCAGATTCTTGAAAGAAGGACTCAGGTAGGTGACATTATATTAAAAAGAAAAAAATATAAATAAGATTTTGTGTTAAAATATTAAAAATTAATTTTGTTTACGTACAGATTATAACGATCGAAGCTGAGAAAGGATCTACTTTTTCAAAAGCTAGCTTTGCTTGTTCCTCTAATAGATCAGATATTAATATCGATGATCCAGATTTTTGGAAGAAGTGGGCTAAAAAAGCTGAAATCGATACAACCGAAAAGAAAGAGGAAGATGAATTAGTTATTTCAGAACCTCGAAGACGCACACAAATTAAACGTTACGGACATGACGAATCTGTAGTTGATATGTCAGAATTAGATAGTTCAGATGATAATAGTGATGATGAAACTAGTGGTGGATTAACAGGCAGAGGTATATCTTCTATAAAAAAAGTAGCAGCATGATCACGCATATGTTATCAAAGTTCTGTAATTAAGTTTGGTGAATTGGAACACAGACCCGAATATTATTTAATATATATTTATTATATTTTTTGTATAGGTAAAAAACGAAGAGATAAATTTGGAAAAAAATCTCGTAAATTTTACGACGAGTACGTGCCGCGAGAGGGAGAAGTTGTCTATGGTAGCTGGGCACGAAGCGAGTGTTTCAAAGTAGAACGTGGACTTTTAACGTTTGGTTGGGGACGTTGGGAAGAAATTTTGCAGCACAGTCAATTTCGTCGTGGTTGGCGCGAAATCGATGTTGAAGATTGCGCAAGAGTAATCTTACTATATTGTCTTCGTTATTATCGTGGTGACGAAAAAATTCGTAGTTTCATTTGGGATCTTATAACGCCTTTGGAAAATGGAGAAAAAGTAAAGAACGTATCTGTCAGTACGAATGCGAGAAATAGTAGACAAAAGAAGAAGGCTCGAGTTAGGGAAGGTAGAGAAACTCGAGGATCTATTATAAATGGTGGACCAAGTGATCCTAATCATTGGAGCAATGCAGAAAAGTATGATGGCGATATCTTTTTGGAAAGTAACTATAGGAAACATTTAAGCCGACATGCCAACAAGTATGTATAAATATATATATATATATATATATATATATATATTTTTAGATGTACGCCGTTAAAAGTAAAAGTATATATAAAATCATTTATATCATCATATATGTAAACATAATATTTATTTGTGTGATTTAGAGTGTTGTTACGCGTACGAATGCTGTATTATATCAAACATGAAATCATTGGCGACTTGGTACAACATATTTCCGATGGCGTCCACGTCAGGTTTGTACAATTTGAATATATATTTATCAGTTTTACATATGGTTCCCTTGTTATTTATATTTTTTTACCCCGATGGTCTATCACGGAACATGCACTCACATATGTGCTTACATAGAGCTTTATAGTTGCATGTGCAATGTATATGTTTTATTCTGGGAACTGCACTTGTATGAGGAATGGTCCATAAAAAGCCAAATCTTTGTTTATCTTTGTAGCTCTGTAAATCAAATAATCTGTTTAATTGTTGACCCCCACACCCCCCTATGCTACTAATATAAAATATTTCCTATACTCCTCTTCATATTACACATATGACATACATGTAAGCTCATACTCAAAAATAAAAAAAAAGATAGAGCTATTAAATAAAAACTCTCTCCACATCTTATAATCGTCATGGATATCAACGTCAGTGTGATGATGGTAAGAATATTAGTGTGTATATATATGTATGTATACATACATATATAGGTATATATATATATATACACACATCATGAAGTTTAGTGTACTTATGAAAATATCAATAAGAGGAGGAGGAGGAGCACTTTTATAAATAGAGCTTATGAATATAATATTTAATATAATTGAAAGAAAGAGAGAACACGTATGAGATATTTTTCTTTCTTTTTTTTTTCTTTCTTTCTTTTTTTCTTTCTTTCTTTTTGATTCTTTCGTTATGGTGTATTTTTCGTTCTTTTTTTAATTTATTTAATATAAAAAAAATGTAATATATAGATAATATAAATGTATAATAATGTCGTCGAGACTTGCTATAAGTTTACAAAATTGTTCGAATAATTACTTCGTGATGATCTGATCGGTAATATCACCATATGAATTGGCAAATTGTAAATGAAACCGCCCTACACACAGTGCTTTGCGGATAAACCCTCCGCAGTTCACGGAACGACCAGCGAAATGGTGGGACTCGACGGCAGACAAATCCTTATTAGTTGGCTGCTACAAACATGGCTACGAGAATTACCACCAGATGAGGATCGATCCCGCGCTTTCTTTCATTTCAAGCTGTCCTCCCCCTTCTTCCCAGTCTCAGATTACTCAACAGAAGTAAGTATCATCAATTTTTTCTATATATGTTATTTGCTATATTCCCTCTCTCTCTCTATATATATATATATGTATTTTTATACATATACATATATATATATATATATATGCACATATATATATTTATTTTTCCATTTATAAAGGCACTGCAAATTTGCTCTCTAACACTTACGCTTGCACGCTTTTTTTTTATCAGCTTTTTTACATCCGTGTTTATGCAAGACTATTATGGATTCTTTTTCTCATTAGCATATACATTATAAAACAGTGGGGGACATATTTATACATACATATATTTCTTCTTTCATATCACATTTCATAATATATATATATATATATATTTATATATATAATTTATATTTTTTCTTTAATGTTTTTTTTTTTCATAGAAATCTTTTCTGATCGATGAGATTGCTATTTTCAGTGGAATCAATTATGGATGAATATGAATATAAATATGATTATCTTGGAAGATAAAATTCTTATCTATTATTCAATTGTCTCTCTCCTTCTCTCTTTCTCTCTCTCTCTCTCTCTCAGCGATTTAGTTATAATTTATCTTATTTTTTTGTGGATTACATGCTACTTTTTCAGATAGTTATATCCATACTGAGCTGTTTGGGATGACATCGCGTAATTTGCATATTTTCTTCTTTCAAATTTTCATTTGTCTCAGGGTTCCCTTAAATATCTAATTCTTAAATTCTGTGATAGACATCAGTGCATTGTATATGTACTACATACGCATACATATATGTGTATGTATATATGAATGCATTGATAGGGTGAAAATACCAATTCTTACTCTATATAGTCTTAGTATATATATATTATATTTTCGTATTATAAAAAAAACATATATATATTTATATAAATATGTATATATGATGTATTATTTATGAATTCCAGCAGCAGTAGCAGAGATGAAAATAGTTTAGAAAATGAAACGGAAGACGGCGAATGTTCCATCGTTAAAGATTCCAAAGATTCAGACAAGTTTACTCGAGAAACGCCGATAGATTCGCCAGCTATATCTAGCAAAGCTGATACACCTATACCTGAAGCTAGTAGTAGCCATGATGGAAATGAAGTTCTTATAGAAGATGATAAAACATGGCCATCTGTTGTTGATCTAAATACACGCTTACGCCGAGTAATTTCTTCGTATCAGCGTAGTGTTACCAATAAAAAAGAAGATGTTAAGTTATTGCAAAAGAATAAGATTGGTATTGAAAATGAAACAACGACTACCATTAATCATACAGGAGGAACGACAATCAATGAACCACCAACGAATATGCAAGGATGGGATTTGCAACAATTAGCTATGTATTTACTGGTTAGTAATTTTATTTTTATTAAAGGATGCTATTATTTATTGAAGCTTATTACATTTTTGGTCAGTATTTAAAATAAAATATCGGTAGTCAATATATGGCAACTGATACGAACACTGCTAGTATTTATAATAAATTATTAAATACTGATACATCTTTGCCTCTATTATAAAAATTGGCCATTTATTTAAGGTACTGATAAATTATTATTTATATATATTGACTATTTATTTTACAAAATACTCTGATCAAATAAATAAAAATATTTATGAAATGTTTATACTGTAATTGTAGGGGAGAGGGTAACTTAAAATTATTTCTACATATATTGTATTTAATTTTTATATAGAAAATGGAAAGGAGAGAAAAAATGGAAACCATGGCAAAGGAACGAGAACGTACACGCATCGAAGAACAAAAAACAAAATGGTCTCGTAGGGAGGAAAGTGAATTCTTGCGCGTTGTGTCGACTTATGGTGTCAATTATGATAGAAAAAAGGCACAATATGATTGGACCAAATTTAAGAGTATTGCAAGATTTGATAAAAAGACAGATGCAGATCTTACAGATTATTATATGTCGTTCAGAGCTATGTGTAAGAAGGTGTGCAATGCTAAATTGAATGAAGAAGAAGGTTTGTATATATATTTTTCTTTATTTTTGTATACATATATATATATATATACATATATATATGCAGGGTGTTTCAGCTAAATGGGATCACCTCAATATCTTCTTTGTTTATAATTATATTGAAAAATTTATATTGAAATTTTGATTATTTTTTAATGTAAATATCTCGAGAATAAATGATCGAAATGATATGGTCATGAAGATCATTTTTGTTTTTTTCATGCTCTATTGGAATATTGCAACAAAATATATAGTTCCATTTAAGAAAACATCGATAACCTTGAAATCTCTTAAAAGAATGATCTCTAGAAAAAATTCTTTGAACGATTATTTTTCCTCTTTGCAATAGTGCAATATTTTCCTTTGGAATTTTTTAATACATTTGTAAAAAAGGAAATATTTGGGTGTAAATAATTACTGACTCGTCCTGTATATTATGAATATATTAATATGTAAATATATAGATAAAATATATGCATGCTCAGACATTCTATTATATTGCAGATTTTGCAGATGTTCCGGTTGACCATTTAAGTCCTGCTAAAGCAAGACAGATATTGGATCGAGTCGATCTATTAAGTAAAATACGTGAAGAAATTTTATCACATCCTCATTTAGAGGAACGTCTTTCGTTGTGTCAGCCATCAGGTGATACACCAGAATGGTGGCAACCTGGTAAACACGATAAGGAATTGTTACTTGGTGCAGCGAAACATGGCTTAGGGAGAACTGATATAACTATATTAAATGATCCTGATTTCTCTTTTCATAAAATTTTAGGAAAAAGTACTAGCTTTATGGGTACGCAAACTCCTAAACTTCCGGATAAATCAGAAAAGGCTATTAAGATAGAAAATAGAGAAGATATATTGAAATTTGATAAAGATGAAATTTTGGTGAAATTAGAAAAAGGTGAAGGAACATTAAAGATTGAGAAGATAGGAGCTAAGAGAGATCCTATGTCTGCTGAGAAGAAAGCAGAAAATGCCGAAATAGAAAAAAGTCAAGTGGAATTGACAATAGTCAAAGCTGAAACAACTAAAGTCGAAGAGAAACCGCAGGTCGTAGTACCGCCTATCAGCAATACGCTTACTATTTCTACAGTAACGAAAAGTATATCCTTGGAAAAAGATAATGTTAATAAGATCAAAGTTGAAGAGAAATGTGAACAAACTGTGGATACGACGAAAAGTGAATCAACTAATCCCCCTAATGATAATTCTATTGGAACTCCGAAATCAACAGACGAATCAATTATTACCGAAGAAACTCCACCCTCAAATGAGGAAACTCCTGTTAATAATAAAATTGTCGAAGCCGAAAAGTCTGATGATCAAAGTAAAGAAAATAGTACACCTAAAGAATTGTCTAATAATTCTGAAGAACAATCAACGCAAGATAATCCCGTAGTAGAAAGTAATGAAAAACCTTCTTCTGAAAATAAAGATACTAATACAGAATCAGTTACAGATAAAGGTACGGATACATCGGAGAAAATGGTAACAACTGAGGATATTAAACCTAACATCAAAATTGACAATTCCACTACGACTAAAGAAGAAATGGAAGTAGTAATAGAAGACAAGGCTGCTGCTGATGCTAAAGATAAAGCCAAAGTATCTAAAATCGAGGATAAGTGTAGCGTCCAAGCGGCAGAACTTAAAGCAATGTTTCCTGATTTGGAAGTTATACAGCCATTATCGCGATTAACCCAAATCGATACTTTTGTTCTACGGGATAAGACAATAGATTATAATGAACCTACTATTGTACAACTTTTAGCTCACAGTTGTAATAATGCTTCTTTGAAATGGCCAAAAGTAAGAAAATTTATTTTTTGTTTTATTTTTATATAATCACAACTTAAATAATATTTTACATATTTAAAATATATATTATATATTATTTTTCTATAATTTTTAGGAGCATGCAATCGAAGCACGTCTAATGCATATTGTCCATGCAATAGAACATAAAGAATGGCCTGTGTCGATAAACTTTAGCGCAGGAGATGAGATAGATGCAACAACTTCTAATGAAAAGGATTGTTCAGAAGTAATTACAATAACGACAGATCATGGAGTGTCACGATCTCCGGTAACCGGAAATAATAATGTATCTGCTGCTAGTAAAAAGAGAAAAAGACATATTGCCATAGATGTAGAAACGGAACGAGGTAATTGTTTGTTTTTTTTTTTTTTTTTTAATATATAAAAATATATATAATTATATATATTTAATTCGTATATAATATATACGAATGAAAATTTTACGTAAAAATATAATTTTCATATTATTTTCTAGCCAAACTTCATGCACTTCTCAATAGTAGTCAAATACAATCTCAACCGCCGACACCATTGAGCAAACCAACAATCCTTTCAAGTTCTTCGACTACTTGGGAAGTTAATGAAGAATCACAATCTGAGGATTCACGTCGTTCGACACCAGTTCAACCACCTCCGGCACATCAACAAACGCGAACGCAAAATATACCATTTGAATTGAAATATACTGTTCCTGGTAAAACGACAGTTATACCAGGTACTTCGAGTACACTAACACCTATTGATTTATCTGCTGGGTAAGTAAATTTCTTATAATAAATTTTTTAATTGAAAGTAATAAATAAAATCTGTTGTTTATTTAAAGAATCATGCTCATTTTGAAACTTTAGAAATAAATTTTGTTTTTTTATTTATAGATATCCCAAAACAAGTTCCGATAGCAGCAATAAAGATATTATGAACGAAGTTCAGGACTTTTCGATGCCTAATAAAAATAAACAAAGCAATAGCAATAAAGGAAAGCTTGATAGTATGTTAGACAAATTAATGAAAAGAAAAAATTGTGTAAGTATAAAGAAGACAATAATTATTTATTAGTAAAATTTGATGTATTATTCCTTTTACTTAATAATCATATTCACAATTAGATTTTAATTATCATGTAATATCACTTTCGTGGAAAAATAAGCTTCAATCTTTGTTTCATTAGCCTACAGACGAACCTATAGTTGGAAAGGAAAAGAAACGTCGGAAATTAGATGAAATAGTATTAGGTTTGAGTGCTGCGAAAGAACAACAAAGCAGCCACTATCCCGAACACAATAAAAAGAACACAATCACACCCAATGTCACTGTCACTCCAACATCAGCACCGATTGGACTTCCTAACCCTCCTGCAAATACTCAAAAGCCGTTTTCTATAACCGTCACATCAATTCCATCTTCTCGAGCTTCAGGGACAACTTCCAGTTTACCACCTCCATCATTACATTCGCACAAGGATAGCTTTTCTGCTTTGCTTGCTCAAGCTGAACAAAATCGTGAACTCAAGAAACATCAGCAACAACAACAGCAGCAACAACAACAACAACAACAGCAACAACATCAACAGCAGCAGCAGCAACATCAACAACAACAACAGCAGCAGCAACAACAACAACAACAACAACAGCAGCAGCAACATCAAAGTCATCAACAACAAGCTTTTAATTCAGCGCATTCTTCTGCTGCAAGTAATCATAGAAAAAGTTACGAAGCTATGATTGCTGATATTAACAAAGTTGCTGAATATTCAACGAAAATTGGATCTTATTCTCACGAAGCAAAAGTTAACAAATGGTTGGCCGAACAAACTGCTATAACTGAGCAATTAAATGCTGAATATTTAAATGCACCCAGACGACGGAGGCCTCGCGTTGATCCATCTTTGTTAGACTGGAAAAAATTAACAGGCGACGAGAACGTAGCCGTGATTAATCGTATAACTGGAAAAAAGGTATGCAAATGAATGATCATATCGTTATTTTAGTACACACTAATAATATATACTAATAAATACTATCGTTTATAATAAAGATTAAATTATTATTATGTAAAATGTTTTTGTTATATCTTAGGTTACTGGTAGTAAAGCTCCACAATTGAAGCGACTTGGGCAATGGTTGACCGAAAACCCCATGTTCGACGTCGATCCAAAGTGGGCCGAATTAGTAAAAGAGCGTGGTAATCTACCGCACGATTTGCAAAAGAGATTACCTGGATCTGATAGATCTGGCGTAAGCAAAGGGAAGAGTCCTGGAAGACCACCAATGATGCCAAGTCCAACCAATCAACAATCGGCAAATCAAGCAGCGAATTTAGCTGCTACGTCTATGGCATCTAGTTTGAATTTCCCTTCGTTGGGCAATCTTAATAACTCCCTTTTATCTGGACTTTCACTCGGCAATTTCGATCCGAAAAACAATCCTCTTCTAATGCCATTCGGTGGTTTACCTAACTTAGGAGCGCTAAGCGGTCTTAGCAATCTTAGTAATCTTAGTAATATGAGTTTAACAAGCTCGTTATTTGCCAATCTTGCTGGACTTGGTTTACCATCGATTGCAGGTATGGAAGCAGCTTTGAGTGCTACCGCGACAAGTACGGCAGACACAAATCCAGCTGTGAGTTCGGTTAACAGTAAAAATACGAGTTCGAGCAGTATTAGTAGTACTGGTAAACCACGAAACAAATTGGAAGCCCCTACGAGCAAAACATCTGTGCCATCGACGTCATCGGCATCGTCGGCATTACCAACGACGACGCCATTCCCATTTTTCTTTCCAAATCCTAGTCTTCTTTACACGCCATTAGGTTTAGGTGGTTTAAATCCTTTCTCAATGCAACCTGGTGGTGTATCGTCGGCCTATGAAAGTCTAGCACAGTGCGGTCTTTTAAATCCGCCAACGTCAAGTGCCTCGACTGTACGTAAGCCTGCTTCGTCGGCGAGCAGTTCGAGACAACGAGATAATATTGTTGAGTCGTCAAGCAAACGAAAGGATTCCGAGAAAAAGCCTAGATATCCTGTAGATCCTGGAATAGCGTTACAGCAATATACGGACTTGGCATTACAACATACGGAGGATAGGCGTCGTATGGAACACGAAAAGAGAGAGGCTATCGAACAGCAGCAACAGAACGATATTGCTGAGGCTAATGAAAGAAGACTCGAAAGAAAAAGTAAAGAACAAGAGATGAAAGAGGCTTTGGAACATTTAAGTCGAACCAGTGCGGAGTTGCTAACGAGAAATCTCGAAGATGTGCAACAGCAGCAGCAGCAACAACAACAACAGCATCAACGATGCAGCGAAAAAAGAAGTAGCATAGATCGTAATCAGAACTCGGAACAACACCAACAACAACCGTCTACTTCCTTAGAGGTATCATTAGAACCTGTACCGAAAAAATTACGGACCGAGATTATTAGCGAGACGGTTGCGAAAACTACAACAGTAACAAGTAACGATAATATGGGATCAGTCGATGGATTAGTGGAGTCAGTTGGTAGATCAACGAGTACAACAAAGCAGCCTCCTCAAGAAGATACTTCTACTGTTGCTGCAGTCTCTTCCGAGACACCCTTGAACGTAAGCAAAAAGGAATCGACGAGTGAACCTCCTACTCCAACAACGACGATTACGAATGTACCATCTCCTTCACAGCAAGCTTCGACAACTACGAAAGGGGACTCGAGTAACAAAACCCACGTAGGGGAAAGCGAAGAAGATTGTAAAGGCGCTAAAAGTAAAAAATCACGAAGTGGTAAACGATTGAGTATTGAGCCTCCGCCCGAACGAAAAAATCTCCGGTCTAGTGCTGGTAGACAAGCAAGAGCTGCGGCAGAACGTCAAGCAAGAATGGAATGTGAATTGCAATCCGAACAAAACCAACAACAGCAGCAGCAACCGCAAGAACAATCGCAGCAGCAAACCCAACAACAGGATACTCATGTTGGAAACGAATGAACTCGCGTTAATGTGATCAATAGTGGTTTAGTTTCTATGTTAAATAATCGAGGCCAATCGAACTCTTCATAGTTTATCTCGATTTAAGACTATACGGTTATTTATAATAGCCCTAGCTAATCCATTTTTATCGAGTATCGTTTATTGCAACGCGGTAGAAGACTGTTTAATCTGTGCATCATCTCTCTTGATCGTTTTTTTTTCTTCAAACAAACACAAGTGCGTTAAAGGACTACTGAAGTAGATTTAACATTTACAGTAGCTTTTTCATGGATGTGTGCGATAAATGAAGAAAAAGGACATATATACGATTAAGAAGTGGCATCTCGCGTAAGTGAATATTTAAAGAAAATGAAAACAGGTTGTTGGTGTGTGATGTACGTTAAGAGAATACTTTGAGAAACGAGTGATAGTATTTTATTGCTCGATAATTTGTGTGGAGATTAACTTTTAATTACGTAACATTACTATTTAAAGGAAACAAAAAGAAAAAAGATTAAAAAACAGACAGACAAACAAACAAACAAATATTATTTTGTTAAATTTAATATCTTTTACGATCTTATCAGTTTTGACCGCAGGAGAGAGACTGTTTTTTATAAAACTGCTATCATTTTATTGTGCACTAGCTCTCTATTGCGCACAGGCAATAAAGGGTATAACACGATTTAATTAATATAATCCATAACGTAGGAAAGTAAAATCTATTATTAATTTAATAAATAAGTAAGTAAATAAATAATTAATTAAATGAATAAATAAAAACGAAAAAAAGGAAACTGTAAATAAACGTATGCCTATAGCTCATAAGTAAACTGTGTACTTGAAGAAGTGTATATAATAACGCAATGTACTTTTAATTACATTAGATGAAATAATAAACAGCTTCTTTTGTTGTTTGCAAATGCCAAGCGCCAAGACTTCCATTTTATTTAGTATATTGACCTTCGATCAGAAGAAATTGGTAGCTTGCAGCATCCATGTTCGATATTCAATTTTGTAACAACCGTCACAACATCACGAATCTTAATGATATATTTCGTTTATTATTATATTAACTACATTGTCATATATATGAAAAAGGCTACACAAAAAAAAATATAAGTTCAGTATTGAAAATGTCAGACATTATTACTCTGTATTTTGTATCGTGTACATTGTATCAAAAAAAAAAGTATATATGCAATAATTAATTTAAAATTATTCTTATTGATGTTTTATCTCACGTTTTTTATCCCACTTTATTTTTTCATGTTGGCTGCGATACAATTCGCAAATACGTTTTCCCGGATGGAAGATTAACAGTCTTTACAGTTGGAAATAATTCTTTTGCTTCATTTTCGGTGACAGTTGGCTGAACCATAACTTCTTCTCCTTTCTAATTAAGAAATAAAAAAAGAAACAAAATACGCTATCAAGTATAAAAAAAATATAAATCAATTGGAGAATTGATAATAAATTGAATAGATTTTTACCTTCCAATCGACAGGGGTTGCAACTTTAAATTTGTCAGTTAAATGAAGCGATTCAATGACGCGTAATATTTCACTGAACAAAGAACAAAAATAAATGATAATAAACAGTAAAATTAAGATGTTGTTAAGCATAAATCGAAATTTGTATGAATTGCATACTCAAAATTTCTTCCAGTAGTCGCTGGATATAAAATTGAAAGACGCATTTTCTTGGATGGGTCTATTATGAAAACAGCTCGAGCTGACAGAGGTAGACCTTGATTATCTACCTCTGCTGGATCTAACATACCAAGCATCGTCGCTAATCGGCGAGATTCATCCTCTATTATAGGATATGGAAATTCTTCATCAGTTATTTCTCCATAACTTTTGATGTCCTGGATTTGAAATTGTATAATTATAAGTATAAAGAAGGGGAGAGAGAGAGTTATTTAAAAAAGGCCTCCTGGATAACTTCATCAATTTTAGTGATAGGAAAAAATGTTTTTGATTTCTTTTAATAGGAAAAATTGAAAGATATGTATTGTGAAATATCGATTACTGCAGAGAATGTAAGCCAGGTCATGTTCAGACAATAATTAATTATTAATAATAACACATTTCAGTTGAATTTAACGAATAAAACTGTGAGTGTTCTCTTAGGAAAAAGTTTTTGATACCTTCGATGTAAATAATATTACCTAATAATATTCCTATAATAATATTGTGTACAGAGTTCGATGAGAATTATTAAATATAATGCAAAATATATTTCAAATATACCTCAATCCATTTGTGATGAGAATCAACAGAATTACATGACAATGCAATAACTTTAATGCCTAATCTATTAAACTCTGGCATTAATTTGGCAACTCTTGCCAATTCTGTAGTGCAAACAGGTGTGAAATCATTTGGATGTGAAAACAATATACCCCAACTAAAAGAATTAATTGTTTTTACATATGTGTCTCTGATATAAAAATCACGAAAACAATATTGACGATGTTATAAAGTGCAGTTTGCAAATTAAATAAATAAAAAAATAACTTACGAGTCACCAAGCCAATCGTGAAAATTAATTTTACCATTTTGCGTATCTGCGGTAAAATTTGGGAATGTTTCGCCTAAAAGTATCATTATGACTAATATAATCTGCTTTTACTGCAAAAAAGAAATTAATTAATTTTTTAAAGAAAAAAAACCACAAAACAATGGAACATTTAATCAAATATCACGTGTTTAAAATAAAAGGTAATAGAAGAAGAAATGGTAAAATTTTGCAAAAATCTCTTTTTTAGAACATTTAAAAATTTCGGATGCTTTTTAGAACGCAATATAATAACAATTCCTTGAATGTGTTATATAGAGTGAGAAGAATTGAGTACGCGAAAATGGGGGTAAGCGTGCGTCAATTGGTTAATGTTCTCTTGCGAGAGAGAACTTTCAACCAATAAGAATGTGTGATTTTTGAGAGTATTACTAGAGAGAAATGGATCGTTTGAACTGTGTTGGCTTATCCTTGGCAGCACGGTTTCTCCGTTCAGTATGCCATCCCCACCCACTTACAGCTGATGCGATCAGCGTACGTTACAATCATTGTTAATATTTTGTAAGAAAGTATCGAAGAAGGACCTTCTTGTTTAATTTTAAGAATATAACTACTCGATCTATCTTCTTACATGTGTTAGTAAAATCAAATTTTAATAAATAAAGTGTTCATTGTAAATAATGGTAACAGTGATTGTGACGTGGAAGTGAAAACTGTTTTTCTCTGGTTGTAACACATAGAAAGAGACACAGGAATCGAGAATTGACATACAGAGAAATAAATAAAGGGAAAGAACATTTTTTTAAATTGAACTTAATTCTCGTTTTATTCGTACTCGATCCATCTCTCTCTCTCTCTCTCTCTTTGTCTCTCTTTCTCTTTCTCTCTCTCTCTCTCACTCTCTCTCTCTCTCTCTCTCTCTCACATATATATATATATATATATATATCTTTTTCTCTCTTTTTGTCTTTATGCAAAAATAATACTTATACATATATATTATTAAATAAATCAAAATATATATAACCGAGAGATTGGTTTGACATCCTGTAAGAGTACGCGGGTATGGTATATTTGACGGGTCTTTGGGGTATGGGAGAGACTGAATCACAGTGCCATAGCACCAACGCTTCGCCAGTCTCTTCCTCGTTTCAGGACCATGACGAAGAAGTTGCGTTGCATCCTCTCAAGAATCAGGTATGTTTGTGTTTAATACCATTTTTTTGTTCTTTTCTTTTTTTTTAATTAATCTTATCTCATCTCTTTCTTTCTTTCTTCCCCATTCTTTTTTTTTTGACTGTATAAATGTCAATAGAATTTGTTTGAATACAAATAATGTTTGAATTTACTCTCTATGAGATAACAGTATTTTGTTAATTCAATCAAAATAAACATCTCGTATTTTTATCACCTCATTAGTCTCAAATAAAATTTTATTTAATTACTATTCGTATTTTCTTTAATCTTGATTATAATCAAATCAATAAAATATGCTTAATTGTATGCAAAAAAAAAAGAGAGAGAAAGAAGGAAAGTTGTAGTCGTTTTTTTTTTGAGTTTACAAATATTTTATTCTTCTATTGCTTTTCCTTGTCTTTTAAGTGAAATTTTGATTAAAATTACTAATAGTTTGGTAACAATTTCTTTTTTTTTATGACACATAATGCATATTGTGAAAGAAAATTTCTGTACGACTATTTTATATATTAATTATTGATTATATTTTATGAGATAAATAAACAATTGTTTATGTATATATATATATATATATATTTATTTGTATATCTTAGGTTGGTGGACATACAAGGCTGCTGCTACTCAACAAGAATACTATTTGTAAACCATTGAACTGCAGGGAACTTGACTTCTATCAAAACATTCCACAAGATATACAAATGTTTGTCCCAAAATTTAAAGGTAAGATCAGACGTATATTATTATATATGATGCATCATAATATTAATTATATTTACCAATAGCAACATATTCTATATGTGTATAATTAGTCTATCTATATTTGTATTTATCATTAGAATGTTATTATTTATAATTATAAATAATAATATTGAAACATACGTATCTATATAAGCGTATAATATAAATGTATTTTTTAGTTATTTATTATTTGTGTTATTCTTTAAATTATATATATATATATGGGAGAATTGAAAAGTTTTGAGTCTAACGTAAAAATCAATTTTATTTTTCGATATAGTCTTAACATTTAGAAAAGAATAGGCTCAAAACTATCGATCCACTCTCGTATATCTATTTATCTTTGTTATATTTCAGTTTTATTATCATAAATCAATTTTTGTGTTTAATTGCAAACTCATATTTATTTTTTTGTACAGAGAATCACTGTTTAAAAAATTAATGCTTATTAACGGATTAAATTTATATAACTAAAAAATAAATAGGCTAATTAAAAATAAAAATAATTATATATAAATAAAGTAAATACTTAAAATAAAAGAATAAATATATCACGTAATCAATGCTTGATATAAATTAAACAATTAAAATTTTTTTCTAAAACACTTATTCATCTGCAAGGGTGGGTTAAAAAGTTGCGAATCTCAATAAATTCAACTTTTATTAATTTTTTTAAATAAAAAAATTTGTTTCTATGTTAGGCTTAACATTTTTCAACCCACCAACGGGATATATACGTTTTTATTTTATTACCATACGTATAAATTTGATTCCTCTTCGAACTCCGGAGTGTTCCCATATAGTTGTTATGAGATTAAAATAATCACAAAAAAGAAATTAATTTCGTAAGCGTGTAATAATGAAAAAGGCAGGAGTAACACGTGTAAAATGTGGGTCGTTCTCTTTCCTTTTCCTTTTTCTGCCTTTATCTCATCGATAGAGAAAAAGAATTAATAATACGACGGTGTTAAAAAAATAGAAAGAAGATTCGATCGTTTCATTATAACGATTTCTGTTATCCGGAAGAAACGAGAAATGTTATCGGTCAAATTAATTTTTTTCGCTTGATATTAATCTTCGACATATATAATTTTTTTTTTCTCGTTATGATTAATCCAGTTCAAATTTTTCGAATTATTTATCAACAATGATTATTATTATCAACGATAATTTCGTAGTCATCGTTTCATCATATTAAAAGATATTTCATAATTACTTTAAATGATTAAAAATCAAATATAAAAATAATACTCTTTAAAAAAATGTATGTGAATTTGATTAGACTCATTAAAAAGATATAATATATATCTATTAAATTATCAATAATAATTTCAATTGTTTATCGAACAGATCATCGTTACGGTTATATTGAAAATTATAACGAAATCGTACAATAAAATAATGAAAACTTTTGTTCGACGTTCTAATTTGATTGATGCTTTTCTATATATTATAAATATTAATTACATTGAAGATAAATTATCTTAATAAGATAACATTGTAATACGTAGACACAGTTATTGAATGGGACTGTTTGATGATTCCAGTCTATTGTTTTCTATCTCCAGTACATATGTATATATATATATATATATATACTTATTCCTCTTCTAATGAGATATTAAACAAAGTGATCCCATTTAGTGTTACATCTGTAACACGTGAATAAAGATCAAAGTGCATTTTGCGTATTGGCTTGATTATAAAAATTTTGCTACACTTGCTGCACGAGGAAACTTTATCATCAATTGATTGTGAGTCCATTTTAAAATGGACACACGCACATATATTCACTAGTACAAGATATGCATGAGAAATTAATATGAATGATATGAATATATATAGTGAAAAAAAGTAATGATTAGCCGCGTTAGTAGAATATTGTATAAAATTAATTGGATTAATAATCGTTTCTATTGTCATTAATAGTTGTTCGTTAATTAATGAATAATTTGTATGGATTACGCGTTTTGATAAAAAAAAGAAAAACGTTTGGAATGTGATAAATAATTATGCGAGAAGAGTGATTCAACTGATACTTAAATGTTTCCTATGCGGAATAACAATTATTCGCGTCATGGTTATTTGCAATAGGCAAGGTTCTTAAATATTACCGATCATCAATGAATGATCACACTCGATAAATATATTCACATATTTTTCTAAGTACGTATTATACATTTTCAGTTAAATTCTTTCTATAAAAAGTTAATGCGCAGTTAAACCTAATCTTATTTCTAATCATACGAGTTCTTGGAAATATATTATGATATAATCAGAATAGTTTTGCATTTTTGTAATCGCTTGTTAATCACGGAAGTAACAACCCTATTGACCGCTACATAATGTGTAAAAAAAAAACGATAACGTTTTTCATTTTATCGAATTATTGCTCGCATGACATTTAGTATTTATTTGTTTTTACTTCTTCACTTATAATTTTGTCATAAATATATGTACAATATATATTTTTGTTCCTACATATTTGTAATATTATGTAACAATTGTTTCTTCTAGTGAGTAAAATTTAAAAACTATTGGGTTAATCGATAAATCATAATTTGTAATATTGTTTATATTTAAAATAAATAATATTAGTATTTGTTTTTTTATTGACAAAATGTTTAATATCTAATATATAAACGTAAAGGCAGAATACGTTTAATTAAAAATAAATATTAAATGTTTGGTATTTTCTATCTAAATAAATGGCACTATAGAATAGTTTGTTTATTGAAAATTGCGACATTACTTATTGACCAATTCAATATATCGATTTTAGAAAGAGAAAAAATGTGTAAGAGAAAGAGAGAGAGAGATACCCAGTTTGATTTTTATTGCTATTTACGACTTGCCAAAAAAATATTTATATTTTGTATAAACTTAAATATCTCTCAAAACGCGCGTTTAATATTATTTTAATATAATAAATCGGAAAATAAAATGAAAGATAAGATTAAATTGATAAATATTAGTTTTAAAGTGCGTAAATTGACTAAGCTATTTCCAGCAATACTTCAATTACTACTACTGGCATTTATCCCAGAACGATAATAATTCTAAGAACTTTAGCTTTAAACGATACCGCGAGAGAAAATCGTGTCTCTCGGTAGTTGGAAAATTTTCTTATTATAAACGAATAATATAAATTTCATGTTCTATTTCACACGTTCAAGTAGATAGATAAATATATATATATATATATATATGAATACATAGATGGATGAATGGATGGATGAATAAATTCACTATGCGACTAAATTAGATCTTTCGTAGAATCTCGTAAATGAGACTCCTCTTTCGATCGATAATAGTTTCTACTTTTGTTGTAGGTAGAGGTAGTATTTCCATTTGAAACTCTCCCCAGGTTGCTGAACTCTTCATTCTCTCTTTT